AAAGCCACCAAAAGCCAGTAAAAGCCACCAGAAGCCAGCAAAAGCCAACAGAAGCTAGCAAAAGCTACCAGAAGCACCAGAGATACCTAATGCCTAAACGTGAAAAAAATTCCAAAAAAAAATCCTAGAAAAATATGAGTTCCCGTATAAGCTCCCAAGCAACAAAACTAAACAGTACCTCTTCAATCTTGCTTCCAGAAAAGACCACTGTGATGATGGTAGACTAGATTTTGGGGCTGGAGCACATCGGCACATGATGGCCCTCAGGCCAGCAGTTCGTCGGTGGATACTAACAATGATCCCTTTCGTCCCATTCCCATCCAGCATGGCTCTCGCTTGCTGGACGACGTGGCTCCTCCTCGCGTGCAGGTGTTTCTGCAGTGAAGTATGAACCACGATCAGCCCGATCTATATAACAGCTCCCCCCCAAAGGCTCATGGACCCGAACCAACTGCTACATGTTGGTTCGGTCCAACACCCTGAGTTGTGAGGGTCATTTCATCCTAGCGAACTGAGGGTCTTCTTTCCCCTGTTTCTCCAAGGAGCGCTTTCCGTCTCCACCTTCCGAGGGATGTGCTGCCCGCTGAGCACCTCCAACATCTGCCCCTCGCCGTCGTAGACGCTCACGGGGCGCCCGTTGCAGTCCACGACCTGGGCCAAGGGGAGCTTCGGTGAAGCCGGCTGAGCCGGGCCACGCCGAAACAGAAGGATCTGGGGATGGAGAACAGAAGATGGAGAAGTTCACCGAAAGGATCCGAAAGGCCAAGGTCTGAGATCCCTCCACAGTCCATAAGTGGTTGGCACATCCTACATAGCTTTTGCACATCCTGACATGCTTTCATGTTGCAAACATCTGACTGTGAGCGCAGCAACTCCAAAAACAGCATCTGTCTGTCTCACCTCATCTGTCTCACCTCCCAGCCACACTCGCGCACGACTGCCGAGCCACTGTGAGGATCTTGGGGTCGGTGAGCTTCAGCTTCTCCTGTTTCTGGAGGACGACCTCTTTGAAGGTCGGTCCTGTCCGAGTCGGACCGGCCTCTAACTGATCTGCCATTATGTTCTCACAAGATGACGTGGAGGCAAGCCGAGGCAAGCCGAGGCGAGCTGAGTTCTCTTTGCTTCTTAAAGATTAGTGTTGCAAAAAAAGAGAAGTCAGGCACTGAGGGTTTAAGAACATCAGCACCGAGGGCAGTTTATGTGTTGCTTAAACATCCTTAGGTCCTTGTCACCCACTTCAAAGTGGGAATGCTGGATGCTTGCAAACATGCCACTCCAGAACAAAGGGTCACAGGGTTGATATCCAAACACGGAAATCTTGACATGGCTATTTTGGTGCGTTGAAGCTTTGACAAGGCATTGTGAGCGGTGGAAGTGTTTTTTTGCGACAAGCCAACACCTACTGTTGACTCTTGATCAATCACCCCGCCTCTATGTGGGAAAGTTTCAGAACGTCTCGCATTTCCATATGATGTGGGGTTCTGAATCAACCGTCAGTCTTATGTGGTCTTGCTGATGTAGTCTGAAGTATATAGTCTTAATCAACCGTCAGTCTTATGTAGACTATAGTCTGTCTTACATATGTTGTATAGTCAGTCAGTCTAGTCTTGCATTAAATGTTGATGACTTGGTCTCAAGCTCATCCACACATGAGCTCCTTTCTCCTTCTTCAGGCTGGGATACTTGTCATCGTTATCTACCGGCTCCCACCAGTCGTCGTTCCATTCCTCGGGACGTGGTGACCGGTCTGGGCCTCCGGATGTCCTCCATTTTCCTCTACAACCGGACTTGGCTTCAGGGTTCCATGTGGTCCGAAGATGTCCGATTCGGGGAGTATTGGTGACACGCTTGTGTTCGATACGTGATAGTGGCTGGGCTGAGCCCAAGGAGGCTTTGACCCATCGTTTGGAAGAGTTTTCGAGACCTTTCAGGGCACTGCACTTGTGCACCTCTCTTCTCCGGAGGGCAGTGCCTGTGCACTTTCTTCAGAGTCGATGGACGGTTGGTCCGAGGATGCACGACTCCTGAGATTTCCGAAGAGGTACAGTAAATGGATTCTGGAACAAGTCTCCTGAGTTGAACGGAGTTGAACAAGTCTCCTTCGGGCATGGCCATGCAAAGCCACATTTATCTCCAAAATGGCCTATTAAGAATCGACCCCGCTTTGCACACCCTTCCTTTCAATCGTAACCATCAACAACTACTAGGTTACTAGGGTTTTACTATTACTAGGGTTTCACTGAGGTTTTTACTGCATTTATCATGGTTTATCTATTTGCCCCACCAGTGGCCTGTGCTTTCGCATGGCCTGGCGCTTCGACCCAGCGCTTCGACCCAGTGGCCACCTTGAAGAGGTCGACCATCGGCATGGCACCCTCCAGCTCCACCTCCCATCGACCCCGCTCTTCATGGAAGCACACCTAAGAGAACCAGGGTTGAAAGGCGCAGTGAGTGAGTGAGTGGGTGACTGAGTGAGTGAGTGGGTCAGGGCGGGAGGGAGGGAGGGAGGGAGTGGGTGAGTGGAGGGAGTGGGTGGGTGAGTGAAAAGTGCGGTGAGTGAAAGGCATGGTTGATGAAGCACACAAGCTTTGGAACACACAGCGCGCACTACCCTTTGTCGCTCCGGTTGTCATCTATCCTCTAGCCACTCTAGGCTATTTTGGTCTGTTCCTTTCTGCCCCTATGAGCCCCCCCCCATGGCCCAAATCATCCAAGTCACCAGATTCACCTGTCGCCCATTCAGTTTGGGCTTGCTCTCCAGTCCCCGTAGCAGCACCGTGGCCATGGGCAAGAGTCCGCCGAAGAGCTGCACGTGGCACTGCCCGAAGTCAAAAAGTCGTGTGGCCACATCTTCCGAAAAAGGAACTGGCAAGTGACACATCTTTCCGATGCGTCCACGAATGATGTCAGTCAATCTGGTTTAAGGTGCCTGTACTGAGCAGCTACTGTATCCTTGTTTTGCCGTGGAAGAAAGGTCCTGGGAAGTGGTGGTTGAAAGTCAGGACCAGTGAAACATTGCCAGTCAGCACGATCCCAAAGACCTCAAGCTTTAATCTTAATGGTCCCGGAGCTCTTTCCACTCTGCAGGTCAATGCTTGACCTCTTCAACAAGC